GCATACTCACGCCTGACCGTCGTGCTGCTGCGGCCGCTAAGCTCGGTTTTACACATCACACAGAAAACCATCTTTTTTTGGGTCATGAAGGTCTCTGTACTGCAGTCTCCACTACCTGTATTTCCCTCTTTCAGTCATGTGATGTAAATCAATTCCTTAATTCATTGCCAACATTTTTCATTATCAGTGTTATCAGTAATGTTGATAATATGTTGCAGTCTTTATTATAATTTATTTGAATTGATTCCAGCATTTGACAGCCCTATTCGTGTTGAATGCATTTGCAACCTATTAAACATTTAGGTTAGGGGTGCGCAATAAAGTCAGATTAGCATCGACATATAAGTACATTAAAAATATTGAATATTAGTATTGGTCCCCCAGTTCTCATATTGGTGCGTCCCTAGGTTAGTTTTATATTTATCTTGTTTATGAATGGACTGGTGTAGCCGGGTCATTGGTGCTGTACATTCAAGTTCAGTTTTGAGTGATATCAAGTATGACTTGACTTCTATTTATCTGCACCACCGCTGATGGCCATAGATGGTGCTAGACCTCCACAAATGGGCTTACACACATACACTCACCAAAACTGTGGTTAATTAAAGGAGTGCCCGAAGGTGGATGATTGCTCCTACAAACAGCTGGAAAGTCCTACAGTTACACAACAAACACATGCTTGAACACACACTCTTGTCACAATGATTCCATGATGATTGGCCTTAGAGAGGCTTATTACCAGAGAGAGAGTGTGGGAACTGAGAGCAGTGGGATAATCACCCCGCACAATTCCAAGTAATAGACTGCCAGAGATAAACATGTACACAAATGGAGAATTGTGCTCCTTGAGCACTTTAAAAAGAGAGAAATGGATTTAAAGTGGATAATCAGGTCAGTTTATATTTAAGCCTGCCTTGATTATTCGATTAAAAAAAATTGATTCCAATATACCTTCTTGATGACTCAGCTGCAATTAGTTAATCATTTGCATGATGAAAATGCCTATCGTCGCTGTCAGGACAAAACCTTCTTCTATCTTCTATCTTCATTTTTGTCTTTTTGGTAATCTTGGAAATCATTTGAAAATACCAGCTGCTTTTTACGTTGTATTAAATTTTCATGATGAATGGACTAGTAAAAGTGGTCCAAAATTGCTTGGAAAAAAAAGTCCTGTTCCATTAACTTCCATTCAAAGTCAAGAATGTTGTTTTTTTCCTTCTCTGTATAAGGCTTTGTCCCAACAGCAACAATATTTTTAAATTCTCTTTCAGGTCTCTCTAATAGTAAGACACAGAGCCTGAAGAACACACCTATTTGTATCAATTTTTTGCCTCTAAGTGCAGATTTACTAACATTTGTGCCATCACAAACCCTGTATTGGCATTAAAAAGTGACTATCCTCTTTTACTAAATAGGCACTCCTTTATTTACTAAATAGGCACTCCTTTATTTTTAATGTATTGGCATTAAAAAGTGACTATCCTCATTTACTAAATAGGCACTCCTTTATTTACTAAATAGGCACTCCTTTATTTTTAATGCATTGGCATTAAAAAGTGACTATCCTCATTTACTAAATAGGCACTCCTTTATTTTTAATGCATTGGCATTAAAAAGTGACTATCCTCATTTACTAAATAGGCACTCCTTTATTTTAATGCATTGGCATTAAAAAGTGACTATCCTCATTTAATAAATAGGCACTCCTTTATCACCCTTCATTGCCTATCATAGGATTAAAAGAAAACTTGATAAATAAAAGATAAAAGGAATGGAGAAATCAAAAAAGGATTTAAATTTAAATAAAGATAAAAAGTTAAAATGAATAAATTAGAGTTGGAAATACACACACAAAACTAATAAAATGCTTAACTAAATAAAAATGATTTTGAAATCTAGTACAGGTAAGTACCTGACAGATACCAATAAGTAAAGAGTTCCACATTGTTGGTGCATAGTAGCACAATGCTGCCTTACCAGTCTTTATATGCTTAATTCTGAGAACGTTCAACAAAGCAGCTCCTGGAGATCTTAAGACCTGATCTGGAACAGTTCGTGTGAAGGTGCTAACCTGTTAAGAGCTTTAAAAACCAGTAAAAGAATTTTAAAATTGATTCTGAATTAAACAGGCAGCTAATATAATGATGCTAAAACCACTGCGTTAATACTGAGGCTGCAGCGTTCTGAACATGTTGCACTCTATCAGTTATGGTTTCGTGTAATCCTGTGATGCATTACAGCAGTCTGGTTGTGAAAAGATTCATCCACTTGTTGATACTACACAGACTTGTTAATTTAAAGCACTAGTATCATCCGTCTCTGCCGAGGTATATAACCGTGTATCATCTGCTTAGCTATGAAGTCTGACGCCATGCTTTGTAAATAATGAGACCTAATGGTAGCATTTACAATGAAAATAAAAGTGGGCCTAATACAGAACCCTGCAGTACATCGAAATATGGACATACTGCCATAATCGAGTGATACTAGTACTCATACATTGCCTCCCAGCCAATCACATTGCGAGTTTGGAACTAACTGTAGTATAGTAAGTGATCATGTTGATGTTTAAGCCTGGTTAACCTACCTAAATGTGCCTTTGCCTATGCCTGTGTTGCAGTGCATGTGTGTGAGCAGTGCCCTTGAAGGAAGCACTTGTTTTTTTTTGTTTGTTTTTTTTTGGCCTCATGGAAAAAGCTAAGCTGTGGAGTGGCTTGTGTGTTAATAAGTGCACGTCTATGTATATGTGTTAGCCTACTGTAAGCAAGAGTTTGCGTGTGTGTAAGAGCGATAGAGGGCAAAAAGCAAACACACGCAGATGGTGACATCACACTGCTCTCGTCCTCACGGGAGAGTGTACTGCACCTGACCGCCTGCGTATGCCATGCAAGCGTTTACATCCCCACCCTGCCCCCTCCCACAGCCCACTTCTGTACTCTCCTAGTATGTGGACTAGGAGGGCTAATGTACTTCACTTTGCCAGAGGGAGTTGGTGGGGGAGGATTGGGGAGTGGTAGAGTGTGTGCGTGTGCGAGTTTGTTACACTGCCAGCATCACGAACGTTAGCTGCGTGAGGGAAGCTGACAGAGGCACTCCGGGGGCAGTTCCAGTTCGCGCCTCTTCCTCTGCTAACTTCTCCCAGCCCTGAAAGTGAACAAACAAACAAACAAGCAGATAAACAGCGCAGCAATGCACGACATTAACCTCCCCCCTGCGGGCCAGAGCTACAAACGAAGGGTAGATACTCGCAAAACTCTCTTTTGGATGAGGCGGTAAGATTCTGACACGAGCTTTAAAGAGCTCTGGAGGGAGGAAGACGTCTCAGCAGCTGTGGGAAGAAGTGCCAACATATTGCTTTTGTCACCTGCTTTGAGTGCTATAAAAACAAAGGCATTAAAAGCCGCCCCCGCAGACACAGACTGTCACTTGTAAAGTCCTCATAGCGTAGATCCTTTCTCAGCCCCTTCAACCCCCCTACGCCCGTCTCTTTCCGAGGGTCTGGGCCACGGTGCTAAAGCTAGCACCCTTCTGTGTGTGCTTATCCAGAATGGGTAGAATTGCCTGCAGGTGGCAATTCATGCAGCAGCATTAGGAATATTTTTCTGAGGAAACCGCAGTTTCTGTCAAAGTCCCTGAGTGCCTGGAACATAGTGTAAACTGTGTGGTCTTGATGTATGTGAACATGCTCTACTTCTCAATTAAACCTGCAAGATTTTGTTGAAGGTGAAAGCATCAGCATTACTGAGTCAGGAGAAAAAACATGCTAAAATATGTTGTCCGCACACTGCTGTGAGTCGCCCAGAAAAAGCCTGAAATTCAAATTTAAAAGTCAGTGGTGTCAGGTTAAATTTTGTGTGAGTTTTTGTGAACCGTGTCATAGGTCTCAGTGTATTAACGTCACACACACAGACTCAGAAACAAAGTACAGCTTGATATTTAGATCTCAAATGCAAAATCATCATCATACTGATGAAGATATGATGACAATAGTTGATAATTTACTTGCATCCTTGGGAGACTTGTCCTTCACCAAGTTTTGACTGAGTTCTCTTTGAATTCTCTACGCTTGCAGACGTCAGATTTATCCACTCTGGGAATTGATCCAAAGCACAACCAACATTTCAAGATGTTGTTCTGGACATTGAGTGCAGTTACACATTTCCACCAGAGAGGTCTCCAAATCTTCACATACCCAAAACTAACATAGCGTAGCATTTAAAGGATCGATAAGTGATTTTCGGCTTTGCCTTATGCAGCAACCTGTGTGATAGTGGATGTAGTCTAGTATCAATAGTGGAATGAAAAAAAAAAACTTTTTAGTAATGTCGACCGAAAGTATCTGACTCGAAAGTATCTGACTCAAAAAACTAATTTTGAGCAGAAAACAAGCGACTTTCCAGCTGGAAAACGTGACGCTGATGTTTACCCAGGTTCTTTGCTGATGCAGCTCTCTGTTTTCTTCCTTAGTGGGGAAAAAAATCTAAGCCTAAAAATCAGTTCTGTGTCTAAAGTTTGCATGTTTGGTGTTTCGAGTTTGCTTCTTGTTTTGCGCTGGAGCTACAAGACTAATGCAGCTAACCTGTAACTGCGTAGGAAAAAGGAATAATGCCATCTTCGACCTCCATGCGTTCAAGCTGGAGAAAAAAACATGGGCGCCTCCATTAAAGGCAATGCCTTCAACTAAAGTTATCAACAAGCTAGCCAGCTGACATTAGTGATAGGAGTTGTGATTTTAATGTCCATATATATTAACATTCTCAAAACAGTAGACCTGGTCTTATCATTTTGTCAAAGAAAATTCATTCATAAATACATTTAGAATGCTGTTTTTTTTTTGTTTTTTTTTTAATGTTTTTTGTTTTTACATAAATAATTTTTTAATTTAATTTTTTTCATCGAATAGGTGCACAAAGAGTTTGTGAACAACATGGAGAATACTTCTGCGGCTGATCTAATACAGAAACTGGCTGAGAGCAAAGGGACCGGCAAAGAGAGGCCAGGTGAGACCAAACACAAACACACTGCCGTTTCATACAACACTGACCTGTGTTTATATTTTAGTGAACGCTGTCCACCATAATTTTCACGTGACCACTGAATTTTGGGATTATGGCTAAACTACACGATTGAGGAGAGGAAATGTTGTTCACTACTGTTTTGTCTAAGTCAAGGTACTTACTTACCAGTAAATGTCTCAGAGGCATTTCTGGGACAGCATGCAGTTTGAGGCTGTCACTACAGCTGAGTGAAGCTGAAAGCACAGCAAGAACAGCCTTGTTACAAGCCCAAACCTCTCAAGAAAGCGCAGTAATGCAAATGATGTGAACGTGGATTCATTATGAGTCACTTAAAAAAAGCCCACTTGTTATTGTTAAAATCTGTTGTATAAATTCAAACCAGATGAGAAATTACCAGTGGAATATCACAGGTTGCTGCTACCAGACTCTCTTTAACTGGTGTACACATTATATTTTCTGTAACTGGATATATTCTGGCCTCACTATTGTAGGCTGAGTCTATCAGCAGAAAGCTAACCAGCTAACAGGTAGGCAGCTGCCTAGGGCCCCCATGAGCTAATGTCCTCATGAAAATACAATTAAAATATTCTGGACATGTTAACATTAAATAATCTGTTCTTAAATATATATACATTTTAAGAATAGCTGTTATTTATGATTGTAGCAATATTTTTTAGTAATTTCAGTCATGGTTATAATGGACTATTCTGTGTTGTTAATTGATGACACAACTGCATTAAACAAAGAGAGAAATGGAAAAAAAATTAGACACGTAGCAAAGAAACACAAATAGAGGGAGGAAACTCAAAATGTTTGTTGCTAAACCACCAGAGTGCAAAGAGTGTTTATTACACTGCTTTTACTAAAATAAAACATGTGAAACATGGAATTCTGTAAATATTAGGATTTATAAGCACCTATCGAGTAGTGGTTAGATAGAGTTTCGGCGTTGGTACTTCTCTACAGACGGATACTTTAGGATCAGGTATAAAATGATGTCCGTGCACCCCTAATACTGACAATGTTTGTTTTTACTTTTTTAATTCAAATTTAAAAATTTATTTTATTTTATTTTTTTTTTCTTGGTAAATGACAGAACTACAAAACTATTTCCTTGAAGGGTCAAGGCGCTGAACAGTTTGTTGTTTTTCCTGCTCCTACTAATTGTAGTCATTAGTTAATTATCAAGTTAAATTAGTTGTGTGAGCGCAGAGAAAACACAGATGTTGTGATTCAGGAACAGAACCCATTCAGCAGAATTGTACTCTCTGTTCTGCGTATAATCAACTTTGTCACATCAAAGCTTGTAACTTAATGTCTTTCATTTTATCCTTTTTTTGAAAACCATCTGAAAGCACCAGGTGCTTTTTACATTGTATGAATGGACTAATACCATTGGTCTAAAATTACATTTGATTACATTACCATCCACCATACAGACCCCATTTCTAATGAATAAATCCAGCCACTAAGATGCACCCATTGCTGACATTCATTTGCATATCCAGCTTGTATAATCTTCATAGAAAAGCATATAGCAATAGAATGGGACACTCTAAAGCAGCCAGTAGGTAAAATGCAAATAAAAACAAAAAGCTGTGTGTATATATATATATATATATATATATATATATATATATATATATATATATATAAGCTGTGTATATATATATATATATATATATATATATATATATATTATAATATTATATTATATGTTATTATATATAATAACATATACTTATATTATAATATATATATATATATATATATATATATATATATTATAATATTATATATTATATGTTATTATATATAATAACATATACTTTGACCTGTATTTAAAAACTAGGTTGTTATTTTGTAAATTTACGCTCATTTGGAAATTGATACCTGTAAAACATTCCCAAAAAGTTAGGTCAGGATCAACTGAAGACTATGAATGCTGTAAAACGTTCAAAAACATCTTAAATGCAGGTAATGCAGTTATGCTTGGATATCAAAGGAGTATCCAAAACAGTGTCTGTCCTGATATGGGGCTATTAGTGGGTAACCTTTTATATATCGTCTTTTTCTACATTACAACGCTAGGCCATATTCATATGCTGCGTTACAACAGCATAGATGCATAACCAGAGAGTGCAAGTGCTAGACTGACCCGACTGCAGTTCAGAACTGTCTTACTGAAAACTTGTGCCATGTTCAGCTCAAAATACATCAACAAAGGCCCTGTACAGTTGCCTAGCTGAAGACTGGCGTAACAGAAAGATGGCAAAAAAATTACCCTTTCAGAATTGAAGCAGTTAGTGTCTTCAGTCTTCAGGTCATGTAACACAGTGGTAAACATGCTCCTGTCTTAACTTTTTTGGAAAATGTTGCAGGCATTAAATTTGGAATGAGCGTATATTTACAAAAAACAATGAAGTTCATTAGGGAAGACATAAAATATTGTGTTTTTGTGTCATTTTCAATTTAATGCAGGCCAAACAAAATTTTATTTCATTTTAAAATAAATTAATTAATTAGTTAATTTGCACACAATTATAAAATATATTGCTTGTGTTTTGGCATATCTAGCACAGTCAGTGTGAACTGAAACATTATTAAAAATGGAAATGAATCTGTTCTAGCAGGCTCAAAACTCAAAAAACAGATATTTTTGTTTTAGGGCTGATTCTGAACATGAGAATTTGAGTACTCTTGGAAATGTCAGTGTATTTTCGAAGCCTTTAAAATGCTGTTCAGGTTAGTCCTGATGTTTATACATGTGAGAGAGTCAGACCACTACTAGCCAACTGAGCGTGCATGATACCTTTTCCTTTATTGGGGATTAGGCGCGCACACTTGTTACACTGCAGACATGCTCAGCGAGAGTTTCCCCTTGATTACTGTAGCATGGCGGAGTTTACACAGGAGGTTTTGCTAATCTGTGACCTTTATAAGAGCTCTCGGCTCGGGGGCCTTTAGGCAGCGTTAGCCGTCACATGCAAACTTCCAGCGTCACATGCTAAGCGGAATGTCAAGGTTGCCCACCTTTTACGGCAGATTAAACCAATTGAGTCTGATGGGCCTCAACACAGCTCCGCTCTCTCACCCTGTACTCATTGTGTAGTTGTTTCCCCCTCTCCAGCGCTCTCCTTCCTGACCCCACTTCTTAACCTCGTCATTCTTTTTTGACTCATTTCTTAATCAGTTAATATTAAACAGTTTAATGTGTTGTAACTCAGATGATAAGTTTAAAGACGTTTTAATTGCTGTTTGCAGTTCAAAGAGTATTGCCTGATATTTGAGTAAGTCTTATTACATGCCCACTGCAATATAAACTTTCTTATGAAATGGATAGTTCTGGTCCTAAAATCTGATTGGTGCTGTGAAATACTCACATGCCTGTGGGCACCTCACAACAGTTAAACTCTACATTGTATTAATGCACCGTTATGTTGCTTGCATGGGTGGATATGGCCAGTTTTGTTGTCGGTAGATCTGCAGTAAATAGTATTTAACTCATTGAGAGAAAACAAATGTGTGTCGTTATCTTGGTGCTAACATAACACCGGCAATCCCATAGATATAGAAATTAGCATTATCATTCTGATAGTCATTTGATAATAAAAGGCTAGTTATGAGGTGAGGGTTTCCACGTTAGACACTGCTATATTATGACACTTTCACCATTACATGTCAACAAATTTTAGAAGTGTATGAAATGACTGCTATATATGATGATGACTGAAAGTTCTTGTCCTCCTGCAGCAGTGCATGGTTGCTTGGTGATGATAGCCAACTCTGAACAAACTACATGTCTTGATGGAAAGATTGTTTGTTGTGACATTTGTCACTTACCCATAGGAAAAAAAAAAAAAACTTTTCAAAGTACATATTCAAAATTAATAGTTATTTGTGTATATATCTAAATTTGATACAACAATAATGCTGTATGTTTTGCAGAAAGAAAAAACATCTTTTACATTTTTGACACATTTAGGCAGAACACAAGTGTTTACTTCAGCCTGTCCATACAAACTGTAAAGCATATTCTCAGGACAGAAGTGAGGAAAAAAAGGACTAACCTACAATGTCAGGATGTCAGGACCAACAAAAACCAACAAAATGGTTTCTAAAGTGCTTTATACAAAACGTACACGTTTCATTGTTTAAAACTGAAAGATCCAAACCAATTTATACTGGTTACTAAGGCTAAGGTTTGGGTCATGTTTAGAAGAGTCTTATTACATATAAGCACTTACATGTATGTAATACATATGTGACTCACAGTACAGTGCTTCACTTATTTTGTTTCCAGTCAAAACGGCCATTAATTGCAAGTTATTTTTCAGGAGACATTTACGAAAAGATAATCAACAAAATAAGTGTAAAAGCAGATGTTTCCAAGATCTAGTAGACCATCAGAAAAACTGTACTTATAACTTTCCTCTTTGAGAGAGAGGAGAAAATCAAGCTCCACTGTTGCTTCAGATCTGAAAAAAATCCGCAGGTGTTTCTGTCCATCCTTCCTCTGTGAGAGGAAGGATGGGGCACTGACCACCCCAGAGTCCAGACATCAGCAACACTAAATTGGATTTACTTGGGTTGTGAGAAGCACAAAGTGCAACCAGATTCTAAGACTGAACTTTGGAGGTGTGGAAAAAATATCCCTCTAAATCCATGCTTGAAAGCAAGTCTCCAGAAATGAAAGAAGCTATAATACAGGCAAAAAGTGAAATACTGAAAAATGTCTGAGACTTGTGTGTAATTTTCTGTTGAATCTGTTTTTCGCTGAACAATGAACGACTTGTATTTAATGGCCTTTTTGACTGAAAATTACATAAAGGTGGTTCTGACTTTTGTTTAGTACTGTATGTATGACTCCCCGTCACTTCCCAAGTATGCGTGTGGGTCGGTGTGTGTGTGCACAGTGGACCTAGGGGTTCAGACGCAACATCCGGGGCTGAGCTCGGGCCGCATTTGTTATGACAGCGGAA